TGTTGCTGTTGCTGTTGCTGTTGCTGTTGCTGTTGCTGTTGCTGTTGCTGTTGCTGTTGCTGTTGCTGTTGCTGTTGCTGTTGCTGTTGCTGTTGCTGTTGCTGTTGCTGTTGCTGTTGCTGTTGCTGTTGCTGTTGCTGTTGCTGTTGCTGTTGCTGTTGCTGTTGCTGTTGCTGTTGTTGTTGCTGTTGCTGTTGCTGGTGCTGTTGCTGTTGCTGTTGCTGTTGCTGTTGCTGTTGCTGTTGTTGTTGTTGTTGCCACCTTAAATCTGATCGATCCCTCTTGTTCGTTGCGCACATCTTCGTCTTGTTCCAGTCGGATCACTACCAAGAACCATTTTCATTGGGTCGTTCTCCGACATTATTACGATGTGCCCAGCCCACCGTAGTCGCCAGATTTTTGCATTCGATCTAAATTTCTTAACTTACAAACCTACTGCAATGATACTTAATGATTCACTTCTTTTCTACAGTGATTCAACAATTTCCGAGCTAAATCCAATCTTTTCAAAATTGATTTAAAATTTTTAGAAGTGAGACCAAATCAGAAACGATTCAGGAAATTCCTAACTGAGGTGACACTTTTCAAAGCAGATTCAAAACTGAGTCTGAACGTTTTTGAAGTGAGTTCAAACTTTTGAATAAGTCATCAATATTTTTCTAACTGAGTCTAAACTTTTCTGTTATTCAATCCTTTTTAAAGTTGTCAAAACTTTCCTGAAGTGATTCAACATATTCCAAATCCAATCTTTAAAAAATTGGTTTCGCATTTTTTGAAGTGAGGCAACATTAGCTGATTAATCCTTTTCATTAAATAAATCCAAGGTTTCCTGCATTGATTCAACTTTTTCCGAACTGAAACCAAACTTGTCAGAGCGGGTTTGACATTTTCCCAAGTGAGCTCCAGATTTTTGTTAACTGCTTTGGCATTTGGCAAGGACACAATCTTGCTTAGTGAAAGTGTAGAAAGTTTTCCGAAGTGAACCGACAATTTTTCGAGCTTAAATTTTCCAAATGGTGTCCAAACTTTTCTGTTGAGTGATTGAATTATATTGAATCAGTCTGAGCTTTCCTGAAGGGATTTACCTAACTTTTAACGTAGATTCCGCTCACTTAGATCCCTTCCTCGTTCTTGTGAGATTCACATCCTTTGAAAATTAGGCTGAGATTTTAAAGAATGGACTTTCGTGTGTTCATACCTGATGGTAGATTTTTTTAAGTAAGCACAATTGTTGAGAAAACTGGGTTTACAAAAGTACTTATTTTTATAGAAATTTGGGTTTCTTGATCATCGAAGTTGGATTTTGGCTCCGTTCTTTGAAAAACAGGCTTGGATGTTATACAATAGACCTTTGTGAGTTCATACGTGATGGTAGATTTATTTGAAGCCAGGTTGGATTTCGGTCCAATCTTTTGAAATTTGTGCTTGGATTTTATAAAATGGAACTTGCAGAAGGACGCACCTGGTTAATATTCACAAAAGAAGGTATTTTCAAAGAAAATTAATTTTTCTGTTTTGCCGAACTGAATTTTGGCTTCTATCTTTAAAAAATAAGCTTGCACTTTAATAAATGTTGCTGAATCCATACGTGAGGATTGAATTTCTTCAATTTTTGATAATACCGAGTTTAAATTCACGAAAGTACGTATTTTCACAAAAACTTTGATTTTCTGTTCTGCCAAGTTGAATTTCGGCTCCGATCTTTGAAAATAGACTAGAATTTTGTAAAGCATGCACATTTTTTTAGAAAACTGGGTTTGAATTCTCAAAAGTACGTTTATTCATAGAAATTTGGGTTTCTTGTTTAGCCAAGTTAAATTTCAGCTCCTTCCTTTGAAAAATAGAAGTGGATTTTACCGAATTGCTGAATCCATACGTATTTTCATAGAAATTTGGTTTTTCGGTTCTGCCAAATTGCATTTTGGCTCATATCTTTGAAAAATAGGCTTGTATTTTTTAGAATAAACCTTGAGGAATCCATCCGTGAAGGTTGAACCGGGTTTGTAATTCGAAAAGGTTTTTTGTTTGTTTTCCTTTTCTGCTAAGTTGGATTTTGATACTGTACTTTGAAAGTTATGCTTAGATTTTATAGAATTGACCTTGCTGAATTCATATGTGATGATTATTTTTTTAAGCATACACAAAGCCAGGTTTAAATTGACAAAACTACGTATTTTTGTTAAAATTTTGTTTTTTTTTTGTTCAGCCAAGATGGATTTTGGCTCCTTCCTTTGAATATTACGCTTGGATTTTGTTGAATAGACCTTTCTGAATCCATACATCTAGTTAGATTTTTTGAAGCACGAACAATTGTTGAGAAAACTGAGTTATATTTGGATAGGGAGGAAATATCGAAAACAGAAAGTTTTTTTTTTTTTCATAAGAACTGTTACGTTTGTGGTATTCCGCTTGATGGTTTATCCGGAATTTATCAATACCGAAAAATCAATTGCTTTGATCCTATTCATCTACATTATTACAAATGTTCTTCCTTGAAAGGATACAAAAACTTATGCGTGAAATGTCTTGTTGATAACTCGAGTGTTACACATAATAAAGTCAACATTTGTGGAATTAGTGTCAAAAATCACGGCTTCAAAGAAGTATAAGGCTAAAGTGAAGGCTAAGAAAAATGTTAGCGTTTGAAATATACAGGGTGCGTGACGAATTTTTGCAGTAAATTTCAAATAGTAATTTCTCATGCTTGTGCATCATGATTTAGATACATTTGGCAGCACTGGATAGCTTATACTGTTAGGTGTAAGATTTAAACAAACAATGTTGAGTAAACGTAAAGATGTCAAAACAAGAGAGCAATCTATCAGCCGTTGTCGCTTTGTTGCGCACCGGAGTATGCATGAAAGAAATAATTCGGTCGGTAAATGTGTCTGAAAGAACAGTGTATAATATTAAAAAAGGCTTGGGAAAGTGATAAGACGGAGCACCTGCTCATACTGCTAATAAAGCACAGAAATGGCTTACGGAAAATATTTCGTAAATTTGGGAGGAAGAAATTTGGCCCCCAAGCAGTCCCGATATCAATCCGTTGGATTATTTTGTATAGGGCGTCGTCCAACGGGATACCAATAGAACCTAACACCCTAACACCACACTTAAGTCGCTAAAAGCTAAAATCAAGGCAGTGATGACCAGAGCTGGTAAATATCACGGCCGTCATGTGAGAATGAGAAAACAGGTCCTCTCACTATCACGAGACGAAACTATCTATCATTAGCTTTCTTGTCATTTTCCAATGATCAAGCACTCATGAGAATAATTATGTTGCGGTTTTAACATCTACATTTCTAACTGATTTAGATTAATTCAAGCAAGTAACCGTATGTAATCGGTGAGTGAATATATTATTACGATTTTCTCGGTACAAGTATCTTTAAAAGCAATAAATGAGCTAGTAATTACGATGATCACAACACTTTCACGTTTTGTCATGACGAAAAATTCGATGAGATTTTGAAGAAAATCTCTATCATCGTTTTCTCATCCGATGATAGTGACAGAAGTATCTCTGTAAATATCGCGTGAGATCTTTCATTGAAAATGACATTTGCCAGCCCTGGTGATGACATCTATGGATCGAAACATTTTAAAACGTGCATACTGCAGTTTCCGGAAGCGTCTAACTACAGTCGTCGAAAGGGATGGCAATTTTTTTGAATAAATTTACTTACAACTTCCAAAGAAAATAAATCGCACAAAATTCATTGCTAGAATAACTAACTGGTGTATTTTTTCTCAAATATGCCATTTACTGCAAAAATTCGTCACGCACCCTGTACGGTTTAGATATAACGTAAAACGAATTTCAAATGTTTTTTTTTTTTTTTGGTTTACTTTACCCCCCCCCCCTTCTACCTCGACTGGTGGGGGGGGGGGAGAAAAACTTGTGATTTGTTCCGGCCTTATTTTTCACATGTTCTGGGCAGGATTCTGATTATATGAAATCATAACTAGCTCATTTATTTACTTCTGTCCATAATTTAATTGTGGTCCTGAAAGTGTCAACTTAGTGTTCTAGATGCACTTCCACAGTTATTAATTGAGAGCTTTCGATGCATGAGTTAACTGTTAACGTAACTGCCATGTTTCTTCAGCAAACCCATAGTTCAAAATCAGTTTGTAAACCATTATGTACCAAGTTTTTACTGCCATCTTATCCACCCACCGTTATTTCTGTCTTTTGGCAATTCTAACTATTTTCGTTACTAGTGATATAGTGCTTTAAATTAGTCATCTACAATTAATTGGTTCGATTGGTGAGAGGATAATGAACATGTACCTGTTCTGTACTTCCCAGGCGAATTTTGTCTTCTGAGCACAAACACAACTTACTACTTGTTTTGTTTTTGTTTTTATTTTTCTCAATGAAAACTATAAGTGCAGGCTCGTCCAGCCTGTTCACTATAGCTACTATAACAAGAACAAAATGTGGGTACACTTATAAGAATCTACATTAAAAAACCTTCACATTGACGTTCTAACATCACGAATAGCTTATTTGGCTGTAGAGTAATCTCTTCTGAAAGATGAAATTTTTAAAAATTTCAAAAACTCAGGGTTGTACACTTATAAGAACTTCATAGGTACTTCAGAGCAAAATCAAAAAAGGTGTTTGCTCAGAATGCCAAAATAAGTGTTTTGGCCAAGTGTGGCTCAAATAGATGACATCGACCACAGGTGGTGTACCCACTTGAGCTGGAATGACCCACATGGGACTCAAATGCGATTATAGGCAGTGGAGGTGGCGTGTTCCATTCCCAGTGCGACAAAGACACTGTCCAAGTTGGAACTTTCCGTGGGTTTCCTGAAGATAGACCACATAATATACAACATTAAAAATAGACAAGTTTCCAATTGACAACTGTGGCAATGCAAAAGGAAAACTTAACTGAGATCATGTCTCATTTAGGACGTTATAGCTGTGAAGATAAAGGCAAATTAATAATCTAGTGGATTTTTTTATTTGTAACAATTGTAGCGAGTATCATGCTTTGTAATTTAGATAATAAATTAAATTAATAATAGCTTTGCAGTGGTAGTAGAATTAGAATTCTATACAAATTCTACACTAATATTTCATGATTTTGCTTTCTACTTAGTGCTCTTTTTAACAATTAAATTTCGATGAATCCTTATGTACCTAAGAGCCCATTTCTCCCCCATTCGCTTAAATGTTAATCTAGATTTACCCATATGGTTGAACCTTATGAGGTGCTTAAGCGCAGATGAAGAAATCGGCCCCAAGAGTTTTAATGTAATGAAAGTGAAAGTTAATGATAAATTAAGGAATCTCTGATCCGTTTTAACCTTAGAATCTTGTAAATCACAATTGTTTCTGCTTAGATGCTAACTTAGCAAAGATTGTTTTTTTTTTAACTACACAGCGGATCTGCTTACTGTACTTCTACACACTACAATCTCATCTTGATATATTGAGCCATTATTTTTCCAGCCTTCTAGTTACTCATCGCCAACGAACACACGCAACAGCTTGGGAACCAATAGGTATCGACGTACAGGCTCTGTCCATCGGCGTCCAGCGTCAGCAATCGCTTCTGGGAGAACTTTTGCTCACACCTAGAGTTGTACCCATTCGGTAGGCTGCACAGATTAGAGCACTCAGTTGACCTAGTTGAGGGGAGAAATATTAACGATGCATCATTATTTCACACTAGATAATTACAGTCCTACATAGCAAAAATAAACCTAGGGGAGATTCCAGCACAAAGAGTTACGCAACTCAGGTGGAAAAATTCGGTCTTAGGAACTTCAATGGACCTCAAAGTGAAAGAATATCCCGCCCATATAGGTGTATTTGAGGGGTTCGCTTCATCAGCGGGAGTGTGTCACTAGGATCTATTTCAGTCGGAGAACCCCTCCGTGAAAAGCTTCCACATTACAGCTGAGGTGACAATCAGTTCGAAACATGCAACCTAGGGGGAAATCACCTGACGTTCCTTAAACACTTTCAAGCCCTCATTATTGCGCAACCATGAAGTACAGGTACGCTCCCTACGAATAACTGCATCGGTGACGTTCTTCCAAGGCAGTTCATCGAATCCGGTGAACTTGAAAATTTGCCCTTAATTTTGTTGTACATCGGAAAACATTCACTTGTACACGCACTCAACCGATCCTGGGAGGAAGGCACTTCCCAAAGCGGACACACGACGGAATTTTTGATGAATGCGAACGCACATACCCGCACGTTTTAATGGAGAAAGCGTGGTTTGTTTTGTATGAAAAATTGTTACCCCATTTTATTAATGTTTATCATATGCACTGCAGCAAGGCCTTACCAAGGCTGTTCCCCTAGTTCGCGGTTCTATGAGCGTTCCGCGCGTCCGTAGCAAATTAAAACTGGGGATGGACCCTCGCAAAATGTAGGCATATGATGTAAGGCTGATGTGTGTGCAATTCATCAATACTGCCCGAGGGAAATGTCGGTAAGTTGTGAAAAAAATGTGAAATGGTTTGTATTCCGCTTTGCGCCATTGAACCGTGGCAAATGATAACGACATAGGTCAGGGATGATATGAAAGAGATAGGAAAACTTAATTTCATTCACGAGAATTTTCTGCAATTGCTTGAAGAGGGCTTAATTAGGAGCATAGAACAGTGGGGGCTGCTCGCTTTGAAAGAACGAAGGATTTCATCGGACTTGAGAATGTAGTGAAGGCAGACACGGGAGAGCATAAAGCTTTTCTATGGCATTACACATGGATCTGTTGGTATGTGCGATGCTGAAGTTACAGCTACCCGCAGCTAGGTGTCGCGTTCAAAGAGCTTCCGCGTACAGTTAGTTTCATTTGTACTGGCTCATTCAATGTTTGTCGAAGGCAGTTTGCGATATTGTGAAATAAATACTTCAGGTCGGTATTTTCTTCGCAATGCGAAATAATTGCGTGTGTGGAAGAGATAAGCTGGGACGAAATAAAAGTTAATATCAAAGTCTCGAATGGCATTATTCAGATCATTTACCATGTCTTGGGTCAATTTATGTGAACAACAAACGTAACTAATTACGAGCACCGATGAAACCAGTTGTTCTAATTTAGAGTCTTACTGAAGGACGTCATCGAAAATGAATTTCCGAGTCACATGAGTAACCAAGTCTGAGATGCAGTTTCGATCAAAGCAATTGTTTTAGAATTCAAAAACAAGTTGACATTTTTTTTTATTTTAAGATTCAAAATTTCGACTCACGAGTAAATTCATCATTGAATAGGATTTACTTGGCATTGATGATCAAATCGAAGACCAGGGAGAATATTTAGAAGACCTCATTTTAATTTTAAACAGCTGGAGCTCTTGAGAATCATGTGTGAATAACCTGAAGTCTTGATCAGCTGGAGATCTTTCAAATATTTCTCGATCAACCTGCTGTCTTGAAAGAATGTCTGAGAGACGACATTTGAATTTTTGAGCAGTTACAGATCTTCAGAATAATAATAAAGTCTTAAAAAATATCCAGAGGACTTTATTGATATTTTATCGAAGATCCGTGTGTATCCACAAAGTTCTCTAAAATTCTACATAGGTTCCTGAACTTCCATAAAGATTTTTGAGCTCAAATTAAGCTCCTTGAACATCATTCCACTCCATTGAGCTTATCCTAAGCGCCCAGGTCAGCGCCTCCCTTAATGTTTAGGAGTTCTGAAAACTCATAGAAAGTGCTGTGAACTTCTACGAATTATCAATAGCTTATAAAAACTTTCAGTTTGCTGAACTTGTATGGTGGCCGAAGTAGGCTTCTCGGCTAACAGATTTCAAGCATCCCGGCGAAACTACCATCATGTTGAATGGGAGCAGTTCCAGCACTGTGTCGACACCGCCGTCGACTACGAAGTACATCCGGACGCCCCCGAAGACGTTGACCGATGCCTGCGTTCCTTGGAGGAGGCGATATCCCAAGCCAGGGTACAACACTGGCCAATATCCAGACAGGTGAGCAATACTCTGAACCTTGATAGGCCCACTAAACACTTTATCAGACTCCGTAACACCATGCGAAGGCAGTACCAACGTACTGGACTGCCTGCCTTGAAGACCCATTGCAACCGTCTAACAAAAATAATGCAAGCCATAGAAATGAGGACTTTAGTAACAAAATGAGCTCTCTCCCAGATTGTGCTAAGCCCTTCTGGAAGCTAACCAAAATCCTTAAAAATAAGCCAAGACCCATCCCCCCACTTGTGCCGTTGAATCAACCCAATGGTTCAGTTGCTCATCTGCCATCTGCTGATGCCAGATACGGGGGTTTGAAGGTGTACTTGTACTCGAAGCGTCGATGCATACACACATAAATTTAGTTGTACAACATCACATTTAAGATAAGACATAATCAACAATAGTACGCCACAATACTCGGTTTGCTGCCGCCGCTCTCCATCCTCGGTCATGCCCAATGCTCGCTAGATCACGCTCTACCTGGGCCGCCCATCGTGCTTTCTGCACTCCACGCCTTCTTGTGCCAACCGGATCAGTAGCGAACACCAACTTTGCAGGGTTGTTGTCCGGCATTCTTGCAACATGCCCTGCCCACCGCATCCTTCCGGCTTTGGCCACCTTCTTGATGCTAGGTTCGCCGTAGAGTGCAGCGAGCTCGTGGTTCATTCTTCGCCGCCACTCACCGTTCTGTCATGTTCGGTTCCGCCTACTAGCATGTACTTAGTATTTGACGCACTCACCACCAGTCCGACCTTTGCTGCGTTCCAAATGTTCTTGCGATAATGTCCATGTCGTCCGCAAAGCACACAAATTGACCGGATTTCGTGAAAATCGTACCCCGGCTGTTGAACCCGGCTCGTCGCATTACACCTTCTAGAGCGATGTTGAAGAGTAGGCATGAGAGTCCATCACCATGTCGCAGTTCCCGGCGAGATTCGAATGAACTGGATAGTTCACCCGAAACCCTTACGCAGTTTTGCACACCGTCCATCGTTGCTTTGATCAGTCTGATCAGCTTCCCAGGCAAGCCGTTCCTGCCATGATTTTCCATAGCTCTGTGCGGTCGATACTGTCGTATGCCGCCTTCAAGTCAATGAACAAATGATGCGTTGGGACCTGGTATTCACGGCATTTCTGGAGGATTTGCCGTGCGGTGAAGATCCGGTCCGTTGTCGATCGGCCGTCGATGAAGCCGGCTTGATAACTTCCCACGAACTCGGTCATTTTAGGTGATAGACGACGGAAGATGATCTGGGATAGCACTTTGTAGGCGGCATTCAAAATGGTGATCGCTCTGAAGTTCTCACATTCCAAATGGTCGCCTTTCTGGTGAATGGGGCAGATTACCGCTTCCTTCCACTCCTCCGGTAGCTGTTCTGTTTCCCAGATCCTGACTATCATCCGGTTCGGGCAGGTGGCCAACTTTTCTGGGCCCATCTTGATGAGTTCGGCTGCGATACCATCCTTACCAGCTGCTTTGTTGTTTTTAAGCTACTGAATGGCATCCTTAACTTCCCTCAGCGTGGGAGTTGGGTCAGTTCCGTCCTCTGCTGCACTGACGTAGTCGTTTCCTTCATTGCGCTGGTCTCCCGTGCCTACGTTCTCCTTGCCATTCAGGTGCGCATCGAAGTGCTGCTTCCACCTTTCAATCACCTCACGTCCGTTCGTCAAGAGGCTCCCGTCCTTATCCTTGCCCATTTCGGCTCGCGGCACGAAGCCGTTGCGGGATGCGTTGAGCTTCTGATAGAACTTCCGTGTTTCTTGGGAACGGCACAGCAGTTCCATTTCCTCGCACTCCGCTTCTTCCAGGTGGCGTTTTTTCTCCCGAATGATGCGGGTCTGCTGTTTCCGCTTCTGTTTATACCGTTCCACGTTCTGTCGGGTTCCATGCTGCAGCATTACCGCCCGCGCTGCGTTCATCTCCTCCAAAATCGCTCTGCACTCCTCGTCGAACCATTAATTCCGTAGACTTCTTTCCACGTAATCGATGGTGCTCTTGGCTGCGTCGGTGATGGCTGCTTTTACTGTACTCCAGCTGTCCTCTAGAGGGGGCACATCGAGCTCGCCCTCCTCTGGCAACGCTGCCTCGAGATTCTGCGCGTATGCTAAGGCGACATCCGGTTGCTTCAGTCGCTTGTACCGTGGCGGGCGTCGGTACCGTACATTGTTGATGGCGGAAAGTTTTGGGCGCAGTTTGACCATCACCAGGTAGTAGTCAGAGTCGATGTTAGCGCCACGGTAGGTCCTGACGTCGATAATGTCGGAGAAGTGCCGTCCATCAATCAGAACGTGGTCGATTTGCTATTCCGTCTGCTGTGGTGAGCTCCAGGTGTAACGATAAGGGAGGCTGTGTTGGAAAAAGGTGCTACGTATGGCCATGTTCTTGGAGGCGGCGAAATCGATGAGTCGTAGGCCGTTCCCGTTCGTCAGCTGGTGGGCGCTGAACTTTCCAATCGTCGGTCTGAATTCCTCCTCCTAGCCTACCTGAGCGTTTAGGTCTCCTATGATGATCTTGACGTCGTGGCTTGGGCAGCGATCGTACTCGCGGTCGAGCTGCGCGTAAAATGCGTCCTTGTCATCATCTGTGCTTCCGAAGTGAGGGCTGTGCACGTTGATAATGCTAAAGTTGATGAAACGGCCGTTGATCCTCAACCTGCACATTCTTTCGTCGATCGGCC